AGTTTTTAAATCGTGGTATCCAATACTGTAGTGCCCACCTGTAGCTAAGGGACACAACCCGCTATTGTTCTAAAATGATAGACAAATTTGTTTTCTCCCTATCTAGAAGCCTTTGAGAGGGAACTGACACAGATTCTAACCACTCCAACGTCTATCAAAATACCTGAAAGCAAATCCTGAATCCATCACTCTCAAGTCCAGCCTTGGAAGACAAAAGAAAAATGAAGAGGAACTCAATAGAGGGATGCTTTTGGAAGCTCTTGTCAAGAACTTCAATGGACTCTCAAATGAACATTTGAAAATTTCCCTATTCTTTTTTCTAGTTCCATGTCTAGAGCTTGTAATGGTAATTACTCTTGCCTTTACTTCTCCTTTACAAAAAAAAAGTTATGCAATTTGAGAGGCTTTTAGATAGACCCACTTGCCTAACCCTGTGTCCCTGTTCAGCATGGAAGAAGCCAGAATGTCTGCATCCCAATTTCCTATCCACGAGTTGGGTAACCTCTTCAGAGGATTATGTGATAAGAATAGGAGGTAGGAATTGGTGAGGCTGTTAGGGTAAAAAGACTCCAAAGAAAAGCCAGTTTCTTGGCTGAAAGTCAAAACGTCCTTGGACCTCTTAGCGACATACTCTGTTCCAAAGGCCAAAACTATCAAAAGTATTTGGGAGCTTTTATCTAATCCTTAAAAGATTTTAGGGTTACCTCTTCAGAGGGGGGAATGTTAGATTAACAAGAATCCCCATAAATAAAAAAAATAAAAGGAGAAAATGTTAGGGTTCCAAACAGCAGCAGCTTCCCCCCTCCCCAACAGGGACCTACAGACTCTGCTGAGAAGCAGCCTGCCTTTCCTCTGATCTCCAAAGATAAGATAAGCAGATTCTACCTGATAACCAGAGATTTTAGAAGCTGTTTATTACAACAGCTTTTCTCTTATCTCAAGAGGGAAAAAGTAAACACTTCCAGACCCTAATCCTACCTGCTTTTTCTGCTTCCTCCTCCCTGATTTCTCCCCCAAACATTCCCCCCTTCCCTGCCCTTCCCTGACATTTTTCCCTTCCCCGAGGGAAAGGTGCCCCGTGCGAAATAAATCTGTATCCCGCTGAGAATTCCATCTGTGCCTCGGAGCCTCCTCCATCCATCCGCTCGTGCTCTCCACCGCACACTCTCTCCCGCTCTCTACCTATCAGAAAGAGTACATGAAGTTGTCAGAAAAAAAGTGATGGGGAGATATAGGAGGAGTTGGAGGGGAAGCAGTGGGCATGGATTTGATCAAAACACCTCATATGCATGTATGAAATTCTCAATAAGTTATTAAAAAAGAGAAAGTTCTCGACTTAATGCTCACAAAGTGATATTTTATTGGCATATGTATGAAAACAGAATGATCCCTAAATTCAGTAGCATGCCATCCAGAACCCTTGACCACCTAGGAGAATTGCTAGGCTCTCAAAGCAGATGCCTTTTAAAAAGGCTACATAATTGTGGGAGGCTAGCCCTTACACTGACTGATACAGAAACGTCACGTCTAGTTTCCTGTCTCATTCTTAACCTGTCCACTGTCTGGGTTTTCTGTTGTTTTGTAATACTGGGAATTAAGCCTGGGGCCTCATGTCTACTGAGCCAGGTGCTTTGCAGCTGTGCTACACCACCATCCCAGTCCTCAGAGTCTGCTCTTCCCAGAGCTGGCCAGTGATTCTATACAGATATGTCAGATGTGCCTCTCTTTGCTCAAAGCCTTTCAGTGGTTACCCATCACACAGAAAATAAGCCCAGGGGCGTTGCCTTGGCTGCCAAGGCCGCAGTTACAACCCTCCTCCATCGTGCATGATCCTCATTTATTCTTCCCTGGCCTTGCTAAGCCTCAGTTTTCTGTGTTTACAGCAATTCTTGGCTGTTCAGATATTTCCTCCTCAAAAAGAGCATCGCGGCTGGAGAGATGGCTCAGCGGTTAAGAGCACTGGCTGCTCTTGCAGAGGACCCAGGTTTGATTCCCAGCACCCACATGGTGGCTAACCACCATCTGTAACTCTAGTTCCAGGGCATCCGACTCCCTCTTCTGACTTCCATGGAAATTGCACAACACGGGTGCACTTACATACATGCAGGAAATTACACTCATACACATTAAAAAATAAAATATTAAAAAATGAAATCCCCCAATAATCCTCAGTTCCTGGTCTCTGTGACCCCCTAGCACAGCTTTCAGCACTGCCTGATCACTATTTTCTCTCTAATGGACTGCCTCCTCTAGCAGCGCTGACCCTGCAGAAATACAGGGATTGCACTGTTGTTCCAACCTCCTGAATAGTGCCTGGCACCTAAGTGCTCCGTGTGAGAGAGAATGAAATCTTCATTGAAACCCCAGATACAATGCTGTAGTGTAGCATCATTGCTTCCTAAAAGGTGGCCAGCCTTTCCCTAAGTGCCAAACCTTGGGTAGCTTCATTATTTTATTACTGCTTTACCAACAAGATAGTTGCTCCGTTAATACTTACAACATATTCAAAGGCAACTAAATATTTCCAGCGGGAGGCTCCTACACATCACTCCATCTTTGCCCACCTTAGCAAAATACGGTCCACAAAGGTAAATTCCAACTTCTCTATCATCCAGAGGTCTCAGGAGAGATTTTTGGCCTCCGAGCCCGTTCCTCCTGTCCTTTGGTCCTGAGTCACTTAAGACCCAAGTCTCCTCCATCTCTTGAACCTTTCTGGGTCCCACCATTTCCATCTGGGCAGCCTCTCTGCACCGCGAGTCTCTGAGGCAGCCTTGTCTCGAGTCCCCTCGCACCCCACAAACTGAAATTGTCAGGACCTCTGAGCCCCGCCAGACTGAAGTGTCAGTGGGATGATGGAGCCAACTTTTCCAGTCTTTTTCTGCCGTTCTCCAGGATCTTTGCATTGCTGGGGACCTTCTGGTTCTTTCGTTCCCACTTGTCACCACATCGGGTGCCACTTCCCTGAGTTAACAACTTCCTAGGCCAAGTCTGAACAGGAGGTTAATGGGAGAGTACCCGCAGCCTCCAAAGGGATGCTTTCGCAAAGACTTCTGGGAATCGTAGTTTAGCCGGCCCCCAGTAGTAGGCCGTGTGTTGAGGCGGCAGGGCAGAGCCCCGGATGGGGATGCGCAGGCGCACATCATCACTTTCGCCTTCGATTTCCCCTCTGGGAAATAGAGTCCGGGAATCCAGAGTGCGGCAGCCAGATTTGTGGGAAGTCCGCTCCGCGGTTCCCTGGGCAACGCGCAAGCGCAGTTCCGCCCCTGGTTGCAGGGTCCAGCTCATTGTGTCCGGACTGCGATGCGGCGGCTGCGGTCTTTCCCCGCGGGCGGAGGCTTCTGGAAAGGGCAGCCCCGCAGTGACCAGGTGCGGCGGTCCGAGCTCCGGCGGACAGCGGTTCTCAGGCCTGGGCCGGAGGGCGGAGGGGCGGGGGGCGCGGAGGGCCGGCATGCGGTTGGTTCTCAAGGACACGGATCTGATGCCCCAAACTTCCCAGGACGTAGGTCCGAGATTGGATTCCGCCCGGAGAAAGAGGACTTGCAGGAACGGGTTGGGGGTCCGAGCCTGCGTGCACGTGGAGAGGGTGGGTCTGGACCGCCAGCGTGCCTGGGGGCAGCTCAGGAACCATTTGCAAATCCAAGTGTTGGGTACGCTCCTGTTGGGACAGGGTCCTGAGGACGGGGGCAACCAGTACAGCCCCTTGGGGTCTCTCTCTCTCTCTCTCTCTCTCTCTCTCTCTCTCTCTCTCTCGCCCCCTCTCTCTCTCCTGTCTGTCTCTCTCTCACACACACACACACACACACGCACGCACGCACGCACGCACACCCTACAAGTACACTGTGGCCTGCCTTTGACCCCAGAGAGCGAGAAGCCTGTGAGTCCTTTCACAGTTGAGGATCTGACCTTTTCAGGAGAAAGAAATCGACTTTCCCTTCTTCCTTCTCAAGCTGCTCCAGGAGGAAAGAGCATAGCTTTAGGGGAAAGGACAGGGGGTGCATTAAAAACAGGAGAGGGAAGACTTGGAGGATCTGACTAGAGGGAAAATGGGATGGGAGAAGTGTGGTGAGACATTCACCTTACACAAGGCAGAGAAACATGCTCTCAGAAGCAGGAAGAATTGGGAGCCGAAGAGCTCATTGCATTGGGGCCCGGAGGACCACCAGGGTGTGACTGTCTCCTACCTGAGTTTGACCTGGTCCTCTCCTCTTTGCAGGCCTGCAGACTTTTCTAGCCTGAGCAACCCGAAGCTTGCAAAGCTCCCCAGCTGCCTCCTCAACACTTTGCTTGTCCCTAAGAGTGCTCACTAGAGGAGAAGGAATGGCTGTCAGCCACCTGCCAAAAACCATGGTCCAGGTGAGTTGGTGGGGAGGGTGTTGTGGGGTTCCCCCTCTAAATTGGCTTCTGGATTGGAAGAGAATAAGGATGTTTCCCCAGACACCTGGCCCACATCGTTCACTCCCACATTAGGCTCATCCTGTGGTTTTAGACCTAAGAGGCTTTCTGCAAGTCATATAATTGATGCAACTGAGATCTTGCCTGATCTGAAGTGGAGACCTTTTCACTAGCACTCTTTCTATTAAGGAGTAAGGTGGGTGTCTAAAGTGGTAAAGACAGGCTAATGTAGGAGCAAAGAGAAGGGATTTGGACTCCTTCCTGGAGGAGGTGGGGTTTCCTAGACTCTTTTTTTCTTTTTTCTTTTTTAAGATACGTGGCTTTTATTTCACAGTAATATTAAATAGCAATGAAAATACTCAAAGAACTCTGCTTCTGCAGGCTAGAGTACAGTTCTGTGGTAGAGCACTTGGCTGGCATGTATAAGGCCATAAGGTGTAACACGTACAAGCACACACACACACATACAGAGAGCTGGGCATGGTGGCTTACCCCTACAGTCCTAGCACTTGGCAGGCTACGGCAAGAACATTACAAGTTCAAAGCCAGTCTGGGCTACACAGAGAGTCTGGGCTGCATAGGGCTCAGAACTAAAAAAACTCAGAATAGTGCCAGCCTCTTTAGAACAAGAGTCTGGACTCTGCTTTGAAAGGAACAGGTGCACTTGATTGTTCCAATTCCTTCACATTTAGACCTTCCTGGGACAGGAATGTGTGAGAGCAACCACTAGAAGACACGAATAGTTGGATAAACATCCAGTGTTCAACCCAGTTACAGCTCACTGGCTCTTCCTCCTCCTCTTGGTTTCTCTTATGTGAAAGAGCTTTATTTAGAAGCTGAAAGTTGAAGATTGCAAGTGCTCTCTCTATGCTGCATCATACTTGGTGAATGACATCGCAAGGCAGGAAAGCGGGTAGGGGAAGTGTTGTGTGGTGATGGTGAGAACAAGAGAGTGCCAAAGATGTTCAATTTACTTGATAACAACCTGCTCACAACAGCCGGTGCAGTCCTGAGAGACCTAACCCAGCCCCACAAGATGTACATTAATCCTTTAGTGAGTGGTATCCCAGCGACCTACTCACCTCCCATTTAAACCCCATCCCTAAAAGGTTCTGCCACCTCTCAACCTCATTATCTTGGGCACCAAGCCTCAGCACATGAACTGTGGAGGATGGACCATACCTAGGGCATAGCAGTAACACACGGTTTATATTGTTTATAGGCTGCTGTAATTTGGTCACCATCCAACAGACATAGCTTAAATGTGCCAAGTCTATGAGCTATGCTAGAAATCAGAGGTGAGCAATAGTCTCTGAAAAATTGGTTTGTGGGTTTGTTTCAGTATTTCTTGGTTCCTTGCTATGTGCCATGGCTTTGGGTACAGGTAACAGAAATCCAGGTGAAGCTGCCCTTAGCTAAAACAGGCATTTGTTGGAAAGATACTGAATTATCTCCCCAAATCTGAAGGCAAAGATATAACTGGACTTTGTGGAAGTGGAGTCTAGAATGATCTGAATCCTTTCTCTTCACCCCTTGGCTTTCTTTTCTAGGCTTCCAGTTAACCTTTCTAGTTCTCCAGCTTCTTAGTCAGCCTGGAAGATCAGAGGTGTGAGAGCTGCTATTCTACATCTTAGATTTCGGGTACCTGAGACTCTTTCTGGCCTTATTCAGAGTGTTCAGAGAAGGGACAAGGTGTAATCAGAGAAGACATAGTCTTATAGTACAGAATGATTCTATCCATGGGGTGTGTGTGAGGTGCGCACGCATGTGTGTGTGTGTATGTATACATGTTGGGGGCAGGCAGATGAGCAGTTGAAGAAAAGCAAGGATTGCTGAATAGTAAATAGGATCATGTGTCACTTAACAATGTTGGCACATTCCGAGAAGTGCATCATTAAGCTGTTCATCCTGTGTGAACCCACAGAGATTATTTCTGCAAACCTACATGGTGTTTCTTGGTCATTCACTATGGCCTCCTGATGCAATCAAGAGATGCAGAAACACGAAATGTGAGGTTTTGTGTAAGAATGTACTCTAAAAAGTGATTAAAAATAGAGTATGGTAGGTGTGTTAATGTGGTTGTTGCTCTTGCTCTCAGGTATTAGATGTTGTACAATACTGTGTGCTATGTCACTGTTAGTGCAATAGGTTTGTCTCCACCCTCACCACTACAAACATGGAAGTGATACATTGTGCTATGTAAGACTTTACAACAGCTACTTTAAAAGTATTTTTTTATTTTTATTTTATGTGTATGAGTGTATTGCCTGCATATATGTAAGTGCACCCATGTGGTGCAGTGCCCGCAGAGGTCAGAAGAGGGCACTGGATTCCCCTGGAACTGGACTTATAGATGGTTGTTAACTACCATGTGGATGCTGGGATTGAACCCAGGTCCTCTACAAGAGCAGCCATCTCTCTAGCTCCCTTAACAGCTACTTTAAGTGATAGGAATTCCTCAGCTCCATTGTAACCTTAGGGGGCCAACTTCATATGTGTGGTCTGTCATTGACGTCAGTATGTGGCAGATGACTGCACCAGATGTTGAGTCCACAAGCCCTGTTGAAGATTCTAGGAAGGTGAAGGAGATGGAGAACTTCCCTTCAAGAATTCCCCTTCTTAGACTAGCAGCCCAGTGAAGGAGAATGAAAGTAAACTGTAGCTCACATGAAACAGGTCAGTCCTTTGCCCACACTGGGCACACATAGGTGACTAAGAGGCAGCCAAGAAAGGCTGGGATCAGTGAGGTTCAGTTATCGTGGTGAGAGGGAGGCTAGGCTGGTCTACTAAGAGGGATGGGAGATGTTGAGAGCAGGGTGAACAGCCAGTGTGTAGTCTCACAGTTCTCTACAACTGGTGTCAAAGTGGGGAGCAAAGTGTATCTTCAATACTAAGCTCAGCCTCTCGGAGACCCTGAGGAACTGCTTAGCTTGTCCAGAAAGATCAGCTTCCTACCTGCTAATGACCCTCATGAGCTGCTGGGGCAGCCAGTCTGCTGTCCTAGACTATCCCCGGGCTGGTAAGAATGGAGTCCTGGTTTGTTCTCCATTGCTGTGACAAAACACTCTGACCAATACCAACTTGAGGAGGAAAGGGTTTATTTAGCTTACATATCCCGGGTCACAGTTCATCCAGGAGCCCAAGGTAGGAACTCAGGGCAGGAACCTAGAGGCAGGAGCTGGAGCACAGGCCATGGAGGAATGCTGCTTACTGGCTTGCTCTCTTGGCCCCTGCTCAGCCTGCTTTCTTATGCAACACAGACCCACCTGCCCAGGGGTGGCACCACCCACAGTGGGCTGGGCCCTCCCACATCACTCATCAAGAAAATGCCTCTCAGACATGGCCACAGGCCAGTCCAATAGAGGGAATTCCCCAATTGAGGCTCCCTCAACTCAGGTGTTTCAAGTTGACACTAAAGCTATCCAGCATGAATGGTTTTGCTGTTACAGGACTCAGTGACCTTCCGGGATGTGGCTGTCCTCTTCACCCAGGAGGAGTGGGGGCAGCTGAGCTCTTCCCAGAGGACCCTATACAGGGACGTGATGCTGGAGAACTACAGCAACCTTGTCTCACTGGGTAAGCTAGGAGCCTCAGGTTTGTCTTCACCTCTGATGATCTTGTTAGGAACCTGAGACTGTCATACAGCAGACTGGGTTGGAATCGGGTCACTGAGGATGCCACCTTCCTGGCTGCTACTGTTCTGTCTCTTTGGTGTCTCCCGACCTCTGTTGGAGTCTTGCATGGAGATATATTATAGGTGAGGAAGAGAATTGTTCCATTAGGGAGAAGGGTGTGGGAACAGACTATGTCAGGCCCTCATGTGAACATGGATCATCCCTGGACTTTCCAGTCTATTCACCATTTCTAGAAAGTTCTGAGGACCAGGTCTTATCCTTACAATGGTTTTAAATCTCTATTATGAACAGATACAGTCAGGTTTTTTTTTTTTTTTTTTTTTCTTCTCCTTCAAACACAGGACTCTTGGGACCCAAACCAGATGTGTTTTCTTACTTGGAAAAAGATGGAGAATGGATGTCAGAGGAAGCCCCAGGCTTTGGTCTTGGTAAGAATTGCATGTTGGGGAGGCATTGGGAGGAGCCCAGTCAGTCAGGGTAGGCTTGTGGTCTCAGCAAATATCATAGACCTGTGGCCACAGTGTCCCAACATGTATCACCACAGTGGCATTCTTTTCTCATGAAGTCTGTCTGAACCATCCCCTCCATGATTTCTTTCCCTTCCTTCTTTGGCATATATTAGTGGTCTGGCTTAGAAATGATCTCCAAGATCACCTCCCCAGTGTTTTCCCCATGCCCATGTTAGAATGTCTGTCTTGTGCCTGACAGTGCAGGACCTGCTTGTCTCCTCTAGTGAAGAGGAGAAGCCGGTGCTCACTAAAGCTCCTCTTTTTTTCTAGCAAAGCATGTATGTCTTCAATCCCCTATTGTTTCTCTAAACACGTGGAAGTTTGTTCAACCAAGTCTGGAGCTACCCTCCTTGTTCCAGACTCTGTGCTAGACTGCAAGTATCAGGAGAGCTGGTATTTGTATATATTTTGCTATATTGTTCACACTTAGCACAATGCTAATGAGTGACACAGACTTGCTTTCTAGGGACAGAGAGAATGTGACAGCTTAGTGATTGTTGCTTGAACCAAGGAGTCCACAGGGGCTTGTGGCTCAGACAGGGCTGTGTCTTTCTCCAACTGTGAAGTATTCTAGAAAGCCTACTGCCTTATCTAAGATGTTGTAACACTGCACTCTCCTCTTGTGTCGTCACAGCTATAAAATGTCTTTTAGTCCCTTATTACTGATTTTTCACAGTAACCTGGTAAAGTAGGAGGGAATTTATATTTTACAGTAAATATATATCTACCTCAAGTGCCTAGGACTCAATATTTGATGAAATTTAAATATCATAACTCAAAAATATAAATTCCCTCCTACTTTACCAGGTTACTGCATTTTACAGTAAATATATATCTACCTCAAGTGCCTAGGACTCAATATTTGATGAAATTTAAATATCATAACTCAAAAATATAAATTCCCTCCTACTTTACCAGGTTACTGCATTTTACAGTAAATATATATCTACCTCAAGTGCCTAGGACTCAATATTTGATGAAATTTAAATATCATAACTCAAAAATGCAGTTATTAAGAAAAATCTTTAGCTTACTGCTGGGTGATGTAGCTCAGTGGCAGAGCTCTTGACCAGCATGCATGAGGTCCTGGGTTTAATCACCATGGTGGAAAAAAAACCTTTAACTTACCCCTATAGAATTCTGAATAATCTCTGGATTTTATGTTGTGTGATGACCAAGTAGGGCATTTTCAGTGTCTATTCGCTATATAAGTAGTGTTCTAACCAATAAAAGAGGAAGAGCCCAGAAAGGAAATCTGTCCGCCTTCCTTCCTGGCATAAGTTATTTTTATTTCAATCTTTCACTCAGCTGTTCATCATCATCAACACTGGTCCCTTGTCTGAGTGTGAGAGGGATGGGAGGATGAGTGAAGAAGGGCTGCAGCGTAGCGGGTTTGCCGTCAGGTGTGGGTGATGACACGAAACCAGACAGTCAGAGTTCAGTTCTTCCAGGGCATTGTTTTCAGACCTGGAAAGGAGTCTTACTTTATATCTCCTAGTAAAGGTCTGTAGCCTCCCCCAACTCCATGTCCTATTAAAGTTCTGTGTGTGTGTGTGTGTACATTTCCCATTAAAGTTAAATGTGATGTATGTGTGTATGTATATATGTAAATATTCCTCATTACAGTTACATACGTGGATGTGTATATGTATATGTATACATATGTATTTTGTGTGTGGTGCATGCATATGTGTTTGGACTTGCATGTCCATGCATGCATGTGCGGAGGCCAGAAGAGAATGTTGGGTGTCCTTGGTCTATCAGCTCCACTGACAGGGTCTCTCACTGAACCTTGAACTTGTCTTCCCCACCACCACATACAACTCCTGGAAGCAAGCAAGCTGGGCAGCAAGCCCCAGTGATCCTACTGTCTCCAGCCCCCACAGTGCAGGCGTTAAAGTTCGTACACAGCCACACCCATCTTTTTGCATGGGTCCTGGGGAATCTGAACTCAGGTCCTCATGCTTCTGCAGGAGCTCTCTGATGGGCTAGGGATCCACAGACCTTATGGAATTATGCCAACAGGCTTTAATTTATGAGTTTCAAGACTGAACATCCTTGATTCAAAAATCTAAATATGAAGCATTTCAAAATCCCCACTTATACTTTTAAATGTTTTATTACATTTATTTATTTGTGCATGTCTGTGTGCTCATGTGTTCCTTGGTGGCAGTTACCTTACCTACTGAGCTATCTCTCCAGCTCCCAAACCCCCAACTTTCTCATATATTTTCATTAATTTTGGGGGGATTTCATATACCCATACAAGGTATTTTGATCATATTTACCCCTAACCCTTCCCCTAACTCCCCTTAGATCCACCCCACCCTCTACCCCTCCTCTTTTTTTCTCTGTGAGTTGTGAGTTTCTCCATTAACTGCCATTCAATTGCACAAACTTCTCTGATGAGGTCTGAAATCTCCAGCTTTTTGAGCAGTGACATGCCACCGCACCTGACTTCAAATGACAGGTCACAGTCAAAATGCAGACACTGAAACTATTTTATAAAATTACCTTCGGGTTGTATGTATAAGGTACATGTGGGAATAAGGGAGTTTCATGTTTAATCTTGGGTCCTACCCTCAATATATTTCATCATGTTTATGCAAATATCTCAACAAAAAACAAAAAACAACTCCTATTCCCAGGCAATTCAGACCGGCTACTCTGCCTCCATTAGATTAAAACATTAAAACTTGGTGGTTGTTGTGCTTGGCATTCTTGACTTAGCATAGACAACTTTATAAATTAGCACACATAACATTAGGTTTCATTGTAGCATCTTCAAACACAAAATGTGTTTTGTTGCTCCTCCCCATCCCTCTGACCCCCTCGTGTATAGAACCTCCTTACCACCTTCATGTCTCCCATGTCCTAGCACCTCCCCTCTTCCTCCGTGCCTCTTTGTCCCCTCCTGTGGTCTCCTCTCCAGTTTCACAGCCTGTGCCCACACTTACCCCTACATACATGCACACATGTAAACGTTACAAGCTAGGATCCACATAGGAGAGGGAACATGGTTTTTCTTTCTGTTACCTCGCTTAATATACTTTGAAGCTCCATCCGTTTTCCTGCAGATTTCATTTTTCTTCACAGGTTAATACAATCCCACTGTGAGTATGCCACATACTTATCCATTCATGTGTTGCTGGACACCTAGGCTGGCTCCGTTTCCTGGCTGTTGTGACAGTGCAGGGATGACCATGGATGTACAGGTGTCTGTGGCAGTCCTCTGGGGAGATGCCCAGGAGTGGTGCAGCTGGGTCATATGGAAGTTCTGTTTTTACTTTTTTTGAGAAACTGCCATACTGATTTCCATATGGCTGTGCTAGTTTATACACCCACCCACAGCGAATAAGAGTTTCTCTTTGCCCGCATCTTTGCCAACATTATTTTAATATATGGTTATTTTTAATCACAGTATGAAAAGCTCATGATCTATATCATTGCTTTTTAAGATTTCTGTTCTCTAGGCCATGAGCTAACAGAGAGAGCTGACATCTAAGTACATGCTGGGTGATCTGGGGTAGGGATTTGTGCTTGCTATTTAACCCTTATACCTTGAAAGTGTGTATGATTGACCCTCTTCACAGATAACTCAATGGAGTTAATGAATTTGGGCTGATTTAATGTTGCTCTTAGGTGAGAGGTGGGATTCGTACAAACTCTACCCTGAAACTGTTGCCTTTTCTCCCTTTCTCCAAATTAGCTTTAATGTCAGAGAAACCCAAGGAAAGATACCAGACCCCTAATTGGAGTAGTTTGCAGGTTGCTTTCCTTCTTTCTTCCTTATTTATTCTTCTGTAGGTCTCTGTGCCTCATGCCCCTTAGCTTTCAGTTCTCTCTTTTTTTTAATTTATCATTTTTACTTTATGTGTATGTGTGTATTGCCTGCATATAGTTAAGTGCACCTGTGTCGTGCAATGCCCAGAGGACAGAAGAGGCTGTCGAATCCCTTGGGACTGGAGTTACAGACAGTTGTTAGCTGCCATGTGGGTGCTGGGATTCGAACCCTGGTCTTCTGCAAGAACAACCAGTGTCCTTAACAGCTGAGCCATCTCTCCAGCCCTCAGTTCTCTTTTTTGATCTAGAAAATGTACTAGTGTCTAACCATACAGGGTTTTTCGTTTATCATTTTATTTTTATCTATTTCTGCATGCTGTGTGTGTGTGTGTGTGTGTGTGTGTGTGTGTGTATGTGTCAGTGTCAGTGTGTATCAGTGTGTGTCTTTGTGTCTGTGTGATTGCCCACATGCTTGGAGGCCAGAGGAGGATTATCAGGTATCCTCCTGTCACTCTCTACCTTAGTCCCTTGAGAGTCTCACACTGAACCTGGAACTTGTGTTTTTCAGCTGGTGGCCTGCAAGCCCCAGTGATTTCTCCTGTCCTCACACCCCAGCCCTGGGGTCAGGGACGCATGCAGCATGGCCAGCTTTTACATGGGTGCTGAGGATCCAGACTCAGGCCCTTGCACTCGCACTTACACAGCAAGCGCTCTTACCCCCTGAGCCATCTTGCTGCCCCTCATAATTCTAATTTTTTTCTTTTGGCCTTTTTGAGACAGTCTTCCTGTATCCCCAGCTATGTAGCCCAGGCTGGCCTCGATCTCACAGAGATCTGCCTGCATCTGCCTCCTAAGTGCTGGGGTTAAGAGCGTGTGCCAGCACAGCAGGCCTTGTTTTCTTTATTATTTTCTGTCTTAGCAGCATCTGATCCTCTTACCTCTGCTGGGGTTTTAGAGGATCAGTTCATGTGTCTGTCTCCATCTTGCAGCTTCATTTCTGAATGTGGCATTGCCATTTCCTTTTTGTCTTAAGACACATTTATTCTAATTTTGTACATTGAGTATAAAATATACCACATACTCTTGTGAACAGTTTTTTGTTGTTAGTATTTTGAGTCGGGGTTTCATGTAGCCCA